TGTGCAGCCGTGGGGTCCGTGTGGGTTTGGGGAGGTGCCCCTCCACGTGAGGCTCCTCTCGGGGGGAGCAGCTGCGCGGGGTGTGGCGGGAAGGGGATCGGAGGAATGCGCTCCCCCCGGCCGGGCTGACCACTGCACACGGCCCGCTGGCGGGCTCCAGCTGCCGCCGCGTGCTCCCTGAGCGGGCCCCTCGCTCGGCGCCTGGGGAGAGGGGGGCACAGCCTCCGGGACGCGCCGTGGGCGACGTGGCATGCCCTCGGGGGCACGTGGCGGGTGGCAGGAGCTGGAGACGCTGCCTCTGGCACGTCCACCGTGGCTCTGAGTGTCCTGCTTTCTATTAATTGGCGAGGCCTCGCCGAGCACGTGGCTCGTGGAGCAGCTGGCACGGAGCCCGAGCGTGGGCCTCGCCGGGGCTGTGGTGCTGTCCGGGGCGGGAAGCGGGGGCTCTGCAGCCGGGCCCTCAGGGCCGCCAGGCACGGCAGGAGCTCTGGGAGGACTGGGCCTCGGTTTGCCGAGTTGTTTTCTGAACTCTCACCCCGAGCCAGTCTGGGCGGTGGTCTCTCCCACTCTTTCCGGGTGGGTGCCCTTTCACAGAAACAGCTCACGCGCCCACCCACCCGCCGGGTTAGGGTTCCTGGCTCCGGGGTCTCACAGAGGCCAAGAGCCCCTGTGCGCCCAGGAGCGCTGAGGTCCAGGAGTGTGCACAGCAGCCTCCTGCGTGGAGGACGGGCCCTTCGGGCGCTGCTGCGGAGGGCTGCTCCCGCCAGGTGGGCCGTGGCCGAGAGCCTGCTCCTGGCTTTTTCCAGAATTCCCCTCTCCTCTCCTGGACCCTCCCGGCTGTTTGTAGAGAGAGGAGACTGAGCCCCGGCCGGCCTCTCTGGACTCAGGTCTGGAGGTGAGGGCACTGGGCGGAGGGACAGGCGGGAGAACCCCCCCCCCCCCCCCGTGAGGTGGGCCCTCCTGCCTGCCCGGGGTGTCTTCACCAGACAGATCTGTCCGCCGGGAGGTCCCCGGTGTCCTAACCCCTCAACACCCAGGCACCCTGTTGTCAGGTAACTCCCAGAAGGAAAGGCGGCGGCTTAGGAGTTGGGTGTTTTTTTTCTGTTTTTATTTTTATTTTTTTTATTCTGTCTTTATCTTCATATTTCTAAGCAGATGTCTGCATAAGGAATCACAAATCGCTTCCCCCCCGGGCTCCCTCCCCCTCCCCGTCTCCCAGCGCCAGTGTCCCCGCTTAGACGGCCCCATCGGAATCCCACTCTGGGACTTTTTCCATCCTCCTGCTCTCTTCAGCTCACGGGGGCTGGGCGAGGACTTGGGGGACAGATGCTGCTGTGACGCCCCCTCCCCCAAACCACGCTGTGACAGCCCGCCCCCGGCCGGCCTCGGAGACTTGGGCTGGCTTTCCCTGTCCTGAGGACCGCTCCTTTCCTCCTGCGCTGTGTTCGCATCTGCTTTGTGGTCTCTGCACTTATCGCTCCCTGCTCCCACCCCGCTCCAAACTGACGCGGTGTGCAAATGTCCTCTCGCACACCCTCGGTATGTGGCCAGCTTTATCTCCTGGAAACCATCTCTCCTCGGGGCCCTGGGGCCCCTCGGGCTCCGAGTCCACAGCCGCCCTGGCTGCTTCCTTCTCCATCCTTCCCTGCTCTTGGCTGTCATGACCCCTCTGGCCTGGTTCTCTCCAGAGTTCAATGGTGAACATTCCATCACAACTTCCAGGAGAGAGGTGCGTGCGGACTCTCTGGGGCCCTGCGGGTCTGAAAATGCCCGCCGCCTGTCTGAGCGCACGGTTTTCCCTCCGAAGTTCGAAGGCCCCACTGTGCGGGCTGGAGGCGGCTGCGCGCGAGGCCGGCGGGTCCTTGGTTCTCTGCATGCGGAGACGTCCCGGTGCTTCTGTCGGTTTGTTCCCCCATCTTCTCTCTTTCACGCCCGGGGGCTCGCAGTAGGCTCCCTTTGTCTTTGTCTGGGAGCCCCTGGGAGCCGAGCATGGGGGTGGGGTCAGCGGCGAAGGCTCAGGGGACCTCCGGGGCCGGTCCTTTGGGGATGGGACAGGTTTCTGAGTTAATTCTTTAATTTACCTTCTTCCATTCTCCTCTCCTCTCTTCTGAGAGGGGCTTTTTATTTGCTGGTCAGTTGCCTGAACTGGTTCTCTCTCTCTCTCTCTCTCAAAAATGTACTGATTTGAGAGAGAAAGGGAGTAGGGATAGGAGGGGAGGGGGAAGAGATCACAGTGGTTCCGACGGGGGTCGAGCCCACTGGGGACGGCGCTCTGGCCAGGGGCTGCCCACCCGGCTCGGCTCTCTGACCTCCATCCTGTGTCTTTGTGCTGCCCTAGGTTGTGGGGCACAGCAACGTGACTAACTTTCCAAGTAGCTCTCTCTATCTTCATTTTTAATCTTTAAGACCTCTTTTTTGGTTATTTTTCCCCCTAAATTCACTTTTTTAGAGTAGCTTTAGATTCCTTGCAAAAAAAGTTGAGTGGAAAACATAGATTTCCTATTCTCCCCGCCCCCCCCCCCCCTCACCTCCCCTGGTCCCCTCACACTCAGCACCCCCGCTGGAGGGGGACCTGTGTTCCAGTCACTGAGTCTGCAGCGATGAAATGTCGCCCCGAAACAGTTACTCTCATGTTAATGGCATCGTATTCCTGTTTCATAGAGGCACGCTGTCTTTTTAAATCTTTTTTTCTGGAGATGTGAGTTTTAGTTTTAGTTTTTCCTGTGGTCTCTTCTCTCCAGTTGTTGCTACTTTTTCACTTTTACTTTTTTTTTTTCCTGCTTGCGGCCGGCTTCCCCAGAAAGCAGACCCTTGGGCAGGCAGGAACTTACGTGCGTGTTTGATTTGGGTGTGTGAGCCCCGGCGGGGGAGGGGCGGGAGGCGAGCGGACAGGCGGCACAGGGCTGGGCTTTCTGGATTCCTTCCTGTCGCCTGCCTCTGCCTTCCCGCCCCGCTCCCACATCCCGGCCCGGAGCCCGCAGGCCCGCGGGGGGCCGAGGCAGAGCGGTGCCCCTGCCCTGTGCCCCCTCCTCGCCCTGGCAGCCGGGGGCTCCCCGCGCTGACTTTCCCTGGGACCTCAGGCAAGTTCTGTGCCTGCGCTCTCCTCCTCCCGCGGGCTGCTCTCCCGGGGGCCGGAGCCGGCGCCCTCCGCCCGACGGGCAGGCTCGTGTCCTTTGTTCTGGGGTGGACACTCCTTCGTGGCGGCGCCCAGAACCTGCCTCCCCCCTGCTTCCCTGCGGCCGCCTCTAAGTAGCCCAGGAATGTGGGCCTGATCTCCCCCCGCTCCGGTGATTATCTGCGTCTCTGCCTTCTGGAGCGGCGAGGGTGAGTCGGGGGTCCCGCGCTGGCCCCGCAGCGCCTCCCTCTGCAGCCCCTCTCCCCTGAGCTCCCTGCCGTCCTGCCGCTGGGCGCGGGGCAGCGGCTGAGTTTGAGTTTGGGGAATTGGTGTCGGCAGCAGGCTGTTCCTGTCCTCGCTGCCTTTTACACCCCTCAGCCCTTCTGCCACCTTCTCTGCCAGGGAGGGCCCTCTGCCCGCAGGTCCCGCCTGTCGCCCTGAGTGCAAGCCCCTTACCCTCTCCAAGCCTGTCTGTGCCCTGGAGCGTGGCAGGAGTGTGTGTGTGTGCATGTATGTGCAGAGACTAGTGGGGAGCAGATATCCCGTATGTAGTGTTTCCTTGCTATCATTTTGAATTCATCTCTTTTCTCTGTGATGTCCCAATAGCTTTGTGCCTGTGGCTTTAGGACAGTCTGTCCCTTCCTTGGCGTTTTCGCTGACATTTTGGGGAGGGGAGTTGGACAATCCTGACTCGGGACAACTGGAAATGGCTGGCTTTGGGGGTCAGGGTCCCCCAGGCGGTTGGGGAGAGTGGAGACTGGTCACACCTCTGAGATTGGTGGGTCTGAGACTCCCTCCGCCCCCAGCGCTGTGTTGTGTGTGGTTTCAGGGTGGGCGAGGAGGACTCGGGGTTCTGTGAGTGGCCAGTATGTGCCCTTGCTCAGTAGGGTGGAGGGTGATTGTGGGGAGGGCAGGGGTATTTTTTTTTGGGGGGGGGTTGCCATGAGAACCAGGGGTTTGTATCAGGAGCTCTCACCGCATGACCCCTGCACCCCACCTCCGTGCTGGGACCCCTGTGGTGGTCCTGGACCAGGCCCTGCCCTCCTCCCCTTCCTCAGAAGCGCCTCACCGCCGGGCGGGGGGGAGGGGGTGTCTGCTGTAGGCTCCCCCAGGCCATGCAGAGTGGTAGGCGGGGGACGAGGGGTGATGCCCCACTTGGGCCTAAGGTGTCCGGACGTCCCACTTTTGGCGGGACAGCTCCGATTTTTAACTATTTGTCCCGCGGCGTTTGAAAAAGTCCCGATTTTTTGAAAGATAGGGACTTTTTTAAAACGCCGCGGGACGCGGGACAAATTGCTAAAAATCGGGGCTGTCCCACCAAAAGCGGGGCGGCTGGTCACCTTACACTTGGCAGATCTGGAAGTGGCTCCCCACTTCTCCGTGTTGGGTGGAGCACCCCAGGCTGCGCCAGGGGCCAGAGACCCGGGGTCTGGGCTGTGCCGCCGGCGGGGCGGCCTGTGCCCGCGCCCAGCGACTCTGTGCGGCAATCCCCGCCGGGCGGCGGCGCGGCGGGCGAACCCTCGGCGCGTGGCTCTGCGGCTTCGTGGTCCACCCGCCTGTGGTCAGCGGACCCGCTGCGCGTCCTGCCCCGGAGCCGTGCGCTCGGCCTGCGCCACGGCCCCGCGCAGCCCCCGCGCCGCCGGTTGCTGGGCAGCGCAGGTGCGGCCCGCGGCGCGGCCGCTTCAGCACTTCGGCCAGCGGCCAGCTGAGCGCTTTCCCACGCCCGGCGCCCGCCTCGCCCGGCCGCGTGCGCCCAGCGCCCCCGTGCGGCCGCCCGGCGGTGCGGGCACCGGAAGTCCCACCCCCGGCGCGGCGCCGCGGCCGCTTCAGCACTTCGGCCAGCGGACCAGCTGAGCCGGCTCCCACGCCGGGCCGGGCGCGCGGGGCCGCTGTGCCGGCGCCCGGCCGCCAGCGCGCGGGGCCGCTGGAGCCGCCGGCACCGCTCGGCACCGCTCGGCAGGTGGCGGGCTCTGAGGTAGGTGCGGCGGCGGCGAGCCTCCAGGGTGTGGCGCCGTGGCCCCCTGCGGCCCACGGGGCCCGCCGAGCGCCCGGTGCCCTGGAGCCCGCGCCCGGCCGCATGCGCGCAGGGACCCCGGCGGCCAAGTTCCTCTCGGCTCGGCAGGTGACGGACACCGACGTGAGGGCACCGGAAGTCCCACCCGCGGTACGTCTCTGCGGTCCGCTTCGGCACGCCGGCCGGGCGGACCAACGCGCGGGCTCCCAGGCTGCGCGGCCCGGCCCCGGCCCCGCCGTGAGCGCGCGTGACCCCCGGCGCCCAGGCCCGCTGAGCGGGTAAACCGGAAGTCCCACCCGCGGGCGGTACGGCAAGCCGGCTGGGCGGACCGGCCGAGCTGGCTCCGATGCCGCTGCCTACGCACTGCGCGGCCGTGCCCAGGCCCAGCCGGGAGCGCGCAGTGACCCCGCGCGCCCAGTCCTCCTCAATGGGCAACGGGCACCGATGAACCGGAAGTCCACCCGCGGCACGGCGCGCCGGCCGGGCAGACCAGCGGAGCAGCGGGCGCCCGTGCTCCGCTCTGCACATTGCGTGCCGCGCAGCCGCGCTCAAGCCCAGCCGCGCGCGCAGCGACCCCATGCGGCAAGTCCCGCGTGCCGGCACCGACGCAGGTGCACCAGAAGTCCCCCCCGCGGTGAGGCTCTGCGGCCCGCTTGGGCGGGGCCCCGGCCGGTGGACCGGGCTGGGCGGTCCCCGGCGCGGTGCCACTGCGCCTGCGCAGCCCGCGCCCCTGCTCAGCCGTGCGCGCGCAGCGACCCCGTGCGGCAAGTCCGGCCTGCGCGGCGGGTGCAGCGGCGGCCCCCTCCGCGGTGTGGCTCCCTAGTCCGCGGTCTGCAGGCCGGCGGCCGGCCGGGCGGTCCCCTGCGCCGCGCCACTGCGCCTGCGCAGCCGTGACCCCGCCCCGCCCCGCCCCGCCCGCCGCGACTCCGTGCTGCAAGCCTGGCCACGGCGGGTACGTGGCTGCACCGACGGCCCCGTCCGCGGGGTGGCTCCCTTGTCCGCGCGGCGCAGGCCGGGCCGCGGCCCGCTGGGCGGGCTCCTCCGCTGCGCACTGCGCACTGCGCACTGCGCATGACGTGGCCGCGCCCCGCCCCGCCGGGGGCGCGCAGCGACCCCCTTTCCCCCCCCGCGGCGAGCCCCGCGCGCACACGGCGGGCGGCGGGTGCACCGACGGCCCCTTCCGCGGTGTGGCTCTCTTGTCCGCGCCGCGCCCGCCGGCCGCGGCCCGCCGCTTTGTCCCGCCGCCGCCTGTGGTCCGGGCTCCGGCTGCCGCGTGCTTTCCGAAGCGCCGCCCCACCCGCTCGGGCGGCGGCCATGGCCGCCCGCGGAGTCCTGGGCCCCGTGGCCGCCGTGGACGGTAGCTATCCCGCTCGTGATGCTCATTGTCTGATGCGGAGCCAGCAGCGACGCCCCGGCCCATCGCCCCTCTGCCCCGGGCGCGGCGGGGCGGCGCGGCCGCGGGCTGCGGCCCAGGCCTGCCCGCACCCTCAGCCCCTGATGACGTGTGTGTCACATTGCCCCTGCCACCCTCCCTCCGCCATCACTGCCAGGGCCCCCGAGGACCGCGGGGACGAGGCGCCGGGGCAGGGCCCGCCCCCGATGGCGCTCCACGCGCTGCGCCCGGCCCGTGGGGCCCCCGCGCCCCGGCTCCGCGGGAAAAGCAGTCCGATCGGCCCTCTTCCATATTGATTGTCCCTCCGAGCCCCTGCGGCCTGGCCTGCCGTCCGTGGCCAGCCCGCCGAGGAGATGCTCGAGGCCCGGAGGCGGTGCCTGCGCCCGGGGCTGGCTCCGGGGGCGGCGGGCCCTGCGGCGGTCTCTGTGAGTATGGAGGTGCCGGCCAGGGTCTGCGGGTGACCCCCGGAGCGGCCGTGGGCCTTGGTGTCGTGCGGGCTGGGCCCCGTGGTTCCGGGGAAACCGGCGGCTGTCCCCGGGGCTGGGAGCAGGCCTCGCCCTGTTCCTTTGGCCGGGACCCTGGCTCTGCGCTGGGAGGGGCGGGGGTGGGGCGGGCAGTTGGAGCGGGGTCTGCTGGGGTGTCCTTCCGGGGGTCAGGGCCTGCAGGAGCTCAGGCAGCCCTGGTGGTGCGGGCGGCGCCGGGCGGGCTCCCGCGGGGTGAGGTGTTAGGTGTTGTATTGTGGGCTCTCGGGGGGATGCACTGAAGGCGGGGTGCCCGGTGCTCCCCTTGCCCCTGTAGCAGTGGCAGGGGGACAGGCCCCAGTCTCTGGGCCGGGGGAGCGCGCAGGAGGCGGGGGTCGCGGGGTGCAGGGATTTCGGGGGTTCCTCCTAACATCTCCGAAGGCTCTCCACTCCCAGTGGCCGCCCGGAGCCGGGCTCTGAGCTCCAGAGAACACTGGGTCTTTTGAATCTGGGAATTTGGCGACATTTCAAACTCCCTCGACGCTCAACCCTCGAGGTCCCACAGAAGCCGGGCCTCCCGGGGTGTGTCCTGCGATTTAGTAAGAACGTCTTAGGCAACCGCGGGAGCAGGTGCGCATTCCTCTGCCCGGTAGGCAGGTCGCCCTCCTCCCTGATGCTCAGGTGGAGGGGTGCCGGGCAGGGGCAGGGCCCTGGAGGGGTGACCTCTGACCCACCTGTCCCCAGGCTCCCACCCTCGCCCCGAAGCCCTCTGCGGGGTTTGGGCCTGGACTTGCCGGTCCAGGTGGAGCCCCCTGAGGGGTGGCGCCTGGTTCGGACATCGCCCGGCTCGGGGGCCGCACCTCGGCCTGGTGGCCAGGGCCCTTCACAGCTGGAGTTAGAAGCCTGGCCCCGGTGGGCGGGGCAGGGGAGAGGTGGCCTGGGGCTGGTCGGCCCTGGGACCAGGGTCGGGCATGAATAGAGGAGTGCTGTGGACCCTCTTGCTCCGGCCTTTTCTGTGGGCTCTGGAAGGAAGTTGGCTCCCCCACACCACCCCGGCCGGACCCCGGCATTCAGCATGGTCACACGGCAGGTCCGACATCCGTGTGAGGTTCGGCCCTCTTTCCTAGGTTTCCCGGGCTGGAAATGAGCCAGGATGTGGATCCATCAGGAAAATCCTCCCGGGTGGCGTGGCCGTGTCCCTCCCCACGCGGGGGAGTTAGGCGAAGGGACGGAGCGCCGAGCAGGGCCGCAGGCCAGGGGCCTGTGTCGGGGGAGAAGAGAGACCTCAGAGTGTCTTGTCCCTTTAAGTGCTGCTCCGGCCCCCCTCCTGCGGCTGTGAGGGGCCAGGGCCACGTGGTCACTCCCTTTGTCACCTGGGACAGAGGTTACTGGGAGGCGCTTTTTTCCTGTTTTCTTTCCCCCCTTTTTTACTGAATGTGTTGGGGTGACGTTGGTGAATGAACTGATACAGGAGGCCATGGATGGCTTTGACAAGGACCGCGCAGTCACCCATTCCACATGTCGCAGGCCGCAGCGGCCTGGGGTCCCGGCCCGCTGGGGGAGGGGAGGAGGCAGAGGGGTGGCTGGGGGCCTGGACCATTAGGAAGTCTTACAGCCCAGTCCTTCGCTGACTTTCCTGGAGGGCGCTGGCGAATTTCAGGACTGACACCAGTTAAATATTAACCGTGTCTGCAAACAGCGGGTTATCTCCTAGAGATGATGTTAGAATGCAGATGCCAGCTCAGCGGGGGGGCCAGGCTGAGACCCCCTGCCCACCTCTCCCCTCCTTCCCGTCCCCCCGGCCCGCGGGAGCACATGCCCTCCGCCCTGCCGCCAGCTCCTTTTCTCTAGAAAGCCCCCGCAAAGGACACCCCCCCGGAGCTATCGCTGCTAAGGCTGTTACCTCATCGGGGAATGTTGCCAAGAGTTTGTCAGCGACCGGCTCGGCGCGCTCCGAGTGCCGCCTCCGTGCCCGTGCTTTATCCGGTGTGTGCGCGTGAGCGTGGGGTCCTGCTCCATGTTCCCATGGGCTCCCCCCGGCTCTGTTCGGAGGTTTCTGCCTTGTTTGTGATCAGAACACTTAGAAAGGCCTGGAACCTTCTGATCCCTCAACGGCCCCGAGCTGATCCTGCCTGCCTGCATTTGAGGAGCGCATGCACGTGTGTGTGTGTGTGTGTGTGTGTGTGTGTGTGTGTGTGGGAGGGTGTCCCCGCGGAGCACCCACCACGGAGGCCCTGCTTGGGACTGCGAGGGCCCCAGGCCATGGCGAGGGCCAAGGCTGGTGCCCGGGGAGGCTGCCCGCCTGACCGGGCCAGAATTGTTAGTGGGCGCACCCCTTTTTGTGCTGATTATGTCATGGGCCTCGTCTTTTTTTTTTTTTTTAATACATTTTATCGATTTTTTTTTTTTTTTACAGAGAGGAAGGGAGAGAGATGGTTAGAAACAACAATGTGAGAGAAACATCGACCAGCTGCCTCCTGCACACCCCCCACAGGGGATGTGCCCGCAACCAAGGTACATGCCCTTGACCGGAATGGAACCCAGGACCCTTGAGTCCACAGGCCGATACCTTGTCCACGGAGTCACACCAGCGAGGGCGGGCCTAGTCTTCTGTGGGGCCCCTCTCTTCTTTTCAAATGCAGCTTTTCTGGGATGCAATTTCCACGTGGCCCAGTGTACCCCAGTAAAGGGCACCGCGCGTCAGAATGAACGTACTCAGACACGTGCAGTCAGTGGTGAGTGTAGTACAGACAGTGTCCAGTCAGGATGGGCACAGCCCCTGCTTTTTACTTAAAAAAAAACCCAAAAATAAATTTTTATTGATTTCAGAGAGGGAGAGGGAGAGAGAGAGAAACAACAACGATCAGATAGAATCAGCTGCCTTTCATACGCCCCCCTCTGGGGAGGGAGCCCCAAACCCGGGCATGTGTCCTGATGGGGGATTGAACTGCCATTTCGTGGTTCTTGGATCGATACTCAACCACGGAGCCACGTGGGCTGGGTCACACTCACCTTTAGAATAACTCGGCGTCAGAAGGAGCCCTCTGTCACCACATGTCCTCCGAGGCCCCCCCCCCACCCCCCGGTCCTACCAACCACTGCTCTGCACGGTAGATCTGTCTGTCTGGGGGGTTTTGATGGTTGGGATCATACAATAGGGTTTTGTGCCTGGCTTCTTTCACTTAGCGTAACGTTTGCAAGGTCCCTCCATGTATGGCACGTGTCGGTACTTCTTTCATGTCCTCGGCGAGCGCTGTTAATATTCCCGGGTGTGTACAGAACACCTCTTGTTTCTC